ATAGATCAAAGTGACTCAACATCAAACATGGTTTAGCCTTTGAAGTGAGCCAGTGAACTGAACTATGCACTTATAATATGGATATAACTGTGAAAGGATAACTGGCTTAATGTATTTCATTATCAATGGGTTTTCCCTTCCCTTAATTTTAGGGCTCATGCTGCAAACTTGCCTAAAAATGCTCTTTCACCCTCTGCACACACTATTAGAATATTGAAAATGTAACACATACACATAACAGATGCTCCAACATTCTGCATGATAGTGTAACCAGTTCTGGAAGTTAAGGATCAAATTAAAGACACTTGAAAGCAAGCAGCATCCCTTACCTTTTCTCTGTGAAAATGTTGTTTGTATATTGTTGCTGTTATGTCCAAATCTGGACAGTCACAGATGTTTAGAATTAACGTACAATTTGTTGTTGGGTTAGTTTAATCCATCAGATGTTTTCAGACAACACTTTAAGGCCATAACCATCATAGGTTTAAAGTTACCCAGGACCCCTTCTGTGCCTAATGATTGGTGGCAACAGATGTTCTCAGGCACAGCTTCCCCTCCCAGTTTTCCTGCAAGAATCCCTGAGGATGCCATGGGAACACTGAGGGAAGTGCAAATGAGAGCTGCCAAAAGTATCCACTCAGCAGCTGTCATCCACTTTCCTGACCTTCACTCTTGCCTGTGCCAGCAAGAGGTAGAGGTGGGGAAGAGGCGGTGTTCTCTTGGGCCTCCCATCCCACTATCCCTCCTCCCTGGTGCCAATTAAGCAGCAGAGGGGCAGAAAAATTGGACAGTGGGTGCCAAGCTGCTCTTTTTCCCTTTCCCTTGATGAAGGCAACCAGAGCAGTTCGTTTTTGTCCGGACAAAAAGACTGCTGTGGCAGCAGGCAGGATCCAGCTTGCTTCCTCCAGGAAAAGGAAGGCTGTGGTTCCCCGCCACATGCTTCTTCCCCAGGCTCCCAGTGGGCAGCATACAGTGGAGCCTGGCAATTTCTTGCACTCCTGCCAATCACAATGGTATAGTGGGATTGCTTGTGAGCATTCTCACTGTCCTGGCATCAGCAGGAGCAGAGGGTGCAGCTGATGACTCACCCAAAATGCTGCTGGGGCACTTTGGTGGCTGTCATCAGCCAGAGTCCCTTGGCTAGACCCTTTCTGCTGCTCTTGGCAAGTTATGCTCTTAATTGTTTGGCTTGACCATGGTTTGTTTTGTTGCCTGGGTTTGGATGACCCAATGAGCCACAAGGGACTAACAAACCTACAAGAAGCCAGAGCAACGTGGGGTAGCGTATAAGCAACCTGTTGGCTTAGAGTGTTGTGCAACCCAGTTATTGTGTTCAGAAGTTACGCTAACAGCCTATGATCTGAGTGATATTAGGGTGGTAACTGAAAGCGGGAGCAGCAGCACACTGGAGGCAGTGTGCTTGTTCCAGTTCAAGCACAGCAATTTGTGTACTAATAAACCCACAACTGCCTACAAAGTGCAAAATGGATCTGAACATTTGGAAGACAGTACCACTGCTAAATTAGATTGAATGCACAGAACTTTAATTCTGTCTTTGGCTGTGCTTCTGTTCCCATAGTATTAATATGCCTTGCAGAATTGGTAAGGCTTAAATAATCCAGTGTGCAGCTGGTACAATAAACCATGAATTATTAACTGGGTTACTGCATTCCCAAGATTGTTCAAGATAACTATTGAAAAAGTATGATACTTTAATCACACCTGACCATTATTTATGAGGAATAACTTCAGTGTTATAATCATCTTCTAAGAATGCAATACAATCTGTCCAAATTATTCTGTCGCATTGCTCTGCATGTGGGTACACATAGCCGTGAGATTAATGGTAAGCTTGTCTATATAGCAAAACAGATAATACAAATTATGAAAAGCGAGAGAGGCATGCTGAAATGTTAGAAATGGCCAAATTATACAAGACTGCCATCCATGGCTACTTAGCTTGCAGCCCGCTTCCCAAGAAAGACATCATAGCAAGGGAAAGTTTGGCCAGGCACTCTCCCTCAGCCAAAGGCGAAGCAACAACAGGGAGCTTGCCTAATTTTTCCCTGCTGGAAAGATTTAGCTCCAACTGCCCATTGCCTTCAAACAGTGAAAGCACAGCACAGCCTCGGTCACTGGGCAGAGGAATAAGGGCCACTATGTCAGTAGCAAGGGAAGATCAGCCTGGCCCCAGCCAGCTATTATTTAAAATTTCTTATATACTATCTAATTATAAAATCTCAAGGTAGTTTACATAAAACCAATAGAAGACAGAAATGCTTTTTTACTGCACACTACTTTGTTTGGACCATGTTCAAATGCTCTCTCCCCTTTACCTCTTCTCTCCAGTCTCCCTCCTCTGTGTGTTGCCTTTTAGTTTGTAAGCCTGAGGGCAGGTTCCCTGTTGTTATCATTGTAAGCTGCTTTGGCATAAGAATGTATTTGTCTGAAAAGTGGAATAAAAAGGTATTTCTGAGAGTAATATTGTGCAGCACAGCCTTCTGGTGGGATGTGAGAGCTCAACTCTCTTTTACCCTGGACAGCTCTGTCAGAACTGTGGACACAGAGGAGACTGCAAGGAGAAAGATAGGGGACAGAGATCTAGAAGACAGACTGAGACAATTGTGAAGAGGGAGAGGCAGAACAGAGGAGTCCTGAGTAATCTCAGAAAGACCAGGAAAGGGAACACCAGCACCATTCTAACCTTGTTAGTAACCAGTCAGCAGTGGTTCTGTAACCAACTGTCAGTAACTAAGGTCTAGTTCTCTCAGACTGCATTTGATAGTCTGAACCCACCAGACTAATTAACTTTAATTTTTATTTTATTATTTTTATTTATTTTTATTAAAACATTTTTATGCCGCCCCATTCGCCGAAGCCTCGGGGCGGCTTACAACAAAAAATTTAAAATAACATTTTAAAATATATACAATAAAATACAAATATACACTATAAAACAAGCCGCCCTGGCCAAATAAAATTCAATAATATTAACATTTAAAATACTGCTTAAATAAAAAGGTCTTCGCCTGGCGCCGAAAAACAAATAACGACGGCGCCAGGCGGACCTCTCTGGGGAGCGCATTCCATAACTTAGGCGCCACCGCTGAGAAAGCCCTCCTCCGAGTAACCACCCTCCTAACTTCTTCCATGGAGGGCTCCCGGAGAAGGGCCTCTCCCGCCGATCTCAGGGGGCGGCTGGGCATATAAGGATGTAAGCGCTCCTTCAGGTAACCAGGACCCAAGCCGTTTAGGGCTTTATAGGTCATAACCAACACCTTGAATTGGGCCCGGACTTCAATGGGAAGCCAGTGAAGCTGACGGAGAACTGGAGTCATGTGAACATAACGTCCAGTCCCCGTCAGCAGCCTGGCAGCTCTATTTTGGACCAATTGAAGTATCCGGACCGTCTTCAAGGGTAGCCCCACGTAGAGCGCGTTGCAGAAGTCCAAACGGGAAGTCACCAACGCATGTGTCACTGTCGCAAGGCAGTCATTCTCCAGATAGGGGCGCAGCTGATGAATTAGCCGAAGCTGGAGGAAAGCACTCCTCGCCACTGCTGTTACCTGAGCTTCCAGTGAAAGCTCTGGGTCGAGGAGCACTCCCAAGCTGCGGACCTTGTCCCTAAGAGGGAGTGCAACCCCATTCAGGACAAGGTTCAATTCACCCTCTCCGAAGCCCGATCCACCAACCAACAGGACCTCCGTCTTGTCTGGATTGAGCTTCAGTTTATTGGCCCTCATCCAGCCCATTACCTCGGCCAGGCACCGGTTCAGCACAGCCACTGCCTCACCTGGATTGGTGGAAAATGAGAGGTAGAGCTGGGTATCATCAGCGTACTGATGGTTCCGCAGCCCACACCTCCTGATGACCTCTCCCAGCGGTTTCATGTATATGTTGAACAGCAAAGGGGACAAAATGGACCCCTGCGGTACTCCATGGCATAGCTGCCATGGCGCAGAGCCATAGTCCCCCAGCACCACCTTCTGGAACCGGCCATTGAGATAGGAGCGGAACCACTGCAAAGGAGTGCCTCCAACCCCCAATCCCGCAAGCTTATCCAGAAGGATACCATGGTCGATGGTATCGAAAGCTGCTGAGAGGTCCAGCAGAACCAACAGGGACGCACTCCCCCTGTCCTTCTCCCTGCACAGGTCATCATACAGGGCGACCAAGGCAGATTCAGTACCGTACCCGGGTCTGAAGCCGGACTGCAATGGGTCCAGATAATCAGTTTCATCCAAGAGTGCTTGGAGTTGTCCCGCCACCACTCGTTCTAACACCTTGCCCAGAAACGGGATGTTGGCCACTGGTCTATAATTAGTGGCCATCTCTGGATCCAGTGACGCCTTCTTCAGGACCGGTCGGACTACCGCCTCCTTCAAAGGGGCCGGCACCCGACCCTCCCTCAGAGAAGCGTTAACCACTTCCAAGATCCAGGTTCCAATCCCGTGCTTGGAATCATTTATTAACCAAGACGGGCAAGGGTCCAAAAGGCAAGTGGTTGGACGTACTCGCCCAAGCACCTTGTCCACATCATCGGGCCGCAATAACTGAAATTCATCCAATAAATCTGGACCAGACGGCAGCATTGGTGTCTCCTTTGAAACCTCTGAATCAATAGTGGTGTCCAGCTCGTGACGAATCTGAGCGATTTTTATCCATTGTTATGTGCCTCTGACTACCCCATGAATGAATGTCCTTCAAAATATCCTGCCCCTGACAGCCCTGCTCAGTTGTTGAAAACTCAGGACTGTAGCTTCCTTCATGAAATAAATCAATTTCATAGTTTGTCTTCCTTTTTGTCTTTTTCCTTTGACTTTCCCAAGCATTCTTGTCTTCTCAGCGAGTCTTGCTTTCTCATGATGTGCCCAAACTACAGCAGCCTTGTTGTCATTTTTGTTTTCAGAGCAAGTTCTGGCTTGATTTGATCTAGGACCCGCTGATTCATCTTTCTATCAGTCCAAGGTGTTCACAAAGTTGTCCGCCGGCACCCAAATGTATCAATAGTTTTTGTTTATTTTGTCCAATTATGGCTTATGATTTGGCTTTCTGAATTGCAGGATAGTTAAGATTAGTCATATTTCCAGGTTGCCATTTATTTATACTGCCTAGTAGCTGAAGCTCTCTGAGCACTTTACAACAATCCATCAAAAATATAATCCAAAATACAGCACATTATTAAAACAAAAGGTTGCTATACAGAGTTTAAACCCAAATTTAAATGATAACTTAAATAAATCTTGGAATCTGATTATGCAGCTAACAAAGCTGCAGTAAATAAAGTGCTCTGAGGTAGTGGACAGTCTTAACCTGGCATTAAGCAGTCCTCAATGGATAGCTCATTCCCTAATAGGGTGGCCACCACTAGAAAAGGTCCTTCTTTTTGCCACTAATCAAACCTCCTTCAGAGGTGGGAGTCAGAGCCAAGCTGCAAAGTTCCATCACAATGTTTGGGTAGATGGCGGTTGGGAAAGGTGTTCCATCAGGTTTTGTGGTCCCAAGGCATACAGGACTATATAGCGTAAAACCAGCACCTTGAATTGGGCTCAGAAGCATACAGGCAGCCAGGGCAAGCAGGCCAGAATTGGTGTCATATGGTCAAACCATTTGATCCTTGTAATTAGTCTGGCTGCTGTATTTTGCAGAAGCTGCAGCTTCTGAACAGTCTTCAAGGACAGCCCCCCTGATTTAGCCAATGGCATCTTCAGAGGTCCCCTCTGAAGATGCATTCCTGTTTCATTATTGTGAAATAATATGAACAACAAGAACAAGCAAGAAGCACAAAACTTTCAACTATTTTGATTCAAAGATGATTTTCCAAGTTAAAAATAGTAAAATTACACTTTATTAACAAATGCATTTGCCCAAATAGTATATTAAGAGTTAACAGGAAGATTTTCATTAAGTGTTTTTAAAGCTTAGCTTGTTATTCAGTGTAAAAACTTGGAGGCTTAAATAGAATACCTGAAAAAAATCAGTACAGTAAATTAACATATTTCCATTCAGATAGTGCTGCATTCTGATAATCATCTCAATACCATGCCCATTCTTGTAAGAGTGGAGCAATTCCATAATTTACCATAAAAATCCCTCCATATATCCATTTGTGAGTTTCCTAGAAATATACAATACTTAACAGCTTAAATATAAATACATTTTCATAATCAATATATTTACAACTGTTTTCTTAAACAATGTTTTAAAAAAGGCTATGAAACATTAGTGTTTAAGTGAATTTAAATCCTAATTCAAGGAGCTATAAAATGTCTGAACTGTCAAGAAACTTACAGAAATGCTGAAGACATTTGCAGAGAAAAAAGTGTGCAATGCTAGCTTTCAAAAGGCTCATATACAAGTACTGTGTTTCAAAAATACTGAAAGCCCAAGGAGCTCACAGCAACAAGATTCATAAGGCAACATGGACTTCAGAGGTTTTTATTTGGCATTCATCTATACCAACTTGTTACCCTTTAAAAAATTGTGCTGGGATAATAATCTTAGCTTGCTGTACACATGAATCTAATCTAAGGCAATGCTTAATTATGCCCAGACTCATGGGGCAGGGGGGGTACTTCAACCATCACTTATATACTGTTTCAGTTAACATCCATCCCTCCAGAAAGAAGGACCTGTTAGTTCTAATTTGAGCACAACTTCTGGCTGTTTGTATGTTCATGCATCATCCTCTTGATTTCTCAAAGTTTATTTTCAAAGTTGAACTATCTGTTTAGAACAGGCTGATAAAATTTAATAGGCATTTTCCATATGGCTTTATATGGCTGAGGTACTGTCATGTCAATATCCAGCAACCCAATTCCAATGCTCAAACTTTTTACATTCATAGTTAGCTTTAACACCATTTTTATAAACAAACACGCACACACACAGACAAAAGTACTAGATAACAAATCCAGTTTCACAGCTGAATACAGCTCTTTAGTTGCTCTTCCTAACAGGATTTAAAACTCAGTGCAAATTACTGGCATTAATGAAGAAGGTCCATATGAGCAACTTATACTATATGGAAGAACTACTTTAACTTATTAACTTCTTTAAATTCTGCCTCTTCTTGTATTTGACAGTATGTAACCAGGAATTCACACACCAAGACAGCAAAGTACACAGAATGGAAACAGATTGGTGAGGCAGAGAAGAAATTGTGACTTTTGATTATCAATACAAAGAACTTAACACAGGCAAATGCACTATGATACCACTATGACTTATCATTTTGCAGAGGATGGATAACAAGTAGGATATCTGATACATATATATTTCTCCATTTTGATTTTAAAAAGAAAAAAATGAACATGAACATGGCAGGTTTGAGGCTCTTCAAAAATTGTATCTGACTTAGAAAGCTGTGTTTCACAAATAGTGCAACTTTTTCTATACATTTTAACACACAATTATATCCAAGTCTAGGCCATTTTCAAATAGTGATGGATATTTCTGAGAACATCAACCTTTATGCTTGAACAAGCATGCTTGTATACTTTCTGTGAAAATCCCTAATATCTTAATTTTTTTCCATGATCTTATATTTTTGAGGCTGGATCTAGAGCCTTCAAGTGGAGGAAGGGGCAAAGGCAATGTTTAAATTCTATCTGCAGCTCCCAGTGCAACCTCCCATTTTATCCAATCTATCCTGAAACTCCAAAGCAGTCATTGAGGGCCCTACGGCAATCTGCAACCACTGCTCCATTTCTTCAGGAGGAAAATCCAGACATAATGCATTGGTTTACCTTATTTTTCAATAGGGCTCTACAGATGACAGCTATATAAGCAAAGGCATGGGGGTAAAAGATTAAAAACTCATCTGAACAATGTATTAAGTGTTCAGGTGCGACCTTCCTGTGCTAATGGCTTTCATGGTTAGTTCTAGTCAAAACAGAGTGAAAAGAAAAAGCCTACTGCTAGGAAGCCACTTTTATGCAGGCATTTCGACAGAAGTGTGCCAGTACGTTCATTTCTACAATTGAGAAGTGTCACAGTCTACACTTAAATCCACATACTCATCATCTCTCCTGGCCAAGTCTTCCTCACCTTCCAAGTCTTTCCAAGTGCTGGTAGGTAATATTGGTTTGAGGGAATGTCTTTGATGCATAGCAAATGGAAATAAGGATGATAAGCGAGCAGGATTCCTCTGGAAGGGAGATGTTGCTGCATTGTCATCAGATACAATCTGACTTTGCTTTTCATCTATTTTCTTTTGCAAGCTCCGCACATTCTCCATCATATCTAAGATTTTTGTTGCAGTAGCAACTGTGCCACCACCTGGAAGTTGAGCTTCAGGGATCCATCGTAAATACCTCTGTGCCCACACTTTGATTTCTGGTCCTTCTAGGCGTGGCAAAAGCAGTCCATGGAGATCGGCAGGTTTATTGTGCCAACTATCATAGAACTCTCTAGAATTATTCTGAAGTTCATCAGAAGACGTTATCAGCCTGCTGATCCTTTTGCCCAGAAGGTTTTTAATTAACTGATCAGTTTCTTCTTTAAAAAAGCCTTTTTTTGGAGGAGGCTTGCTTTGTGTTAGTGGCAAAGAAAGCTGTCGCTGATGCTTTAAAGAGGGAATGGAAAATAGTTTAATAAACTTAAAACATAATTGAAATGGTCCTTAACACAATTTTAGCTCAATTTCTAAGGTCTAAGAGACCCAAAACACAAAGGGGGTTTTCACAGGACACAAGGCAGTTATACAGACAGCGCAAACGTTACTCATCTTATTAATTTCAAGAAGACCACCACTTCATTTCTATATATTTTTATATATTGAAAACCTAATGCTTCATTGTATCAGGCACCTCTATTTGTATAGTGCTTTACCATTTTACAGCAGAACGTCAATTTCCATTAGTCAAGTGATAGTAGCATAAATGGGACACTAGATCTAACATTCTACCCCCACCAAAATAAGCTTTTTACTTCAATAACTAGTAAAGACATCCAGTCAAATCTCTGCAATTCAATGGTTACATATTTAAAATGCATGCTAGTCAGGCATGCTTTAATATTAAATTGATTGGTTATCTTGTATTTCTAAAACAAAATATGTGATTAAAATAAATTACTAGGCTTCTAGTGAGGATCAAAAAAAGCAGATATAGCTCCAGTTAAGAACTACATACTTCATCACATGCTTCCAACAATCATTTGATCTGCCTAAGATTACGCATTCTACAGCGATTCCATATGGCAAAACATTATTTTGAGGACACATACATCTTAGGGTGACTCGTCAAAGAATTGTTTGCACTTAGAATTGAGGGAACGGTATGTCAAAATTAATCCAAAGTGTGCTATCCAATTAAAAAAAACAGATAATACAAATTTACTTTGCTATGAAAAGGTATAAATTAAAGGTATAATTCATTTCTTTAACTTATAAAGGTTTAAAGAAGCATGCAAATGAAATACTCACCATGGACATGATATGAAATATGACCATTTCACTACATCAAAAATACCACCAAAGTATAACACTGGTGTCAAGTTTAATATGTCCTCTGGCTCAGGGGTCCCAAGACTGCAACTGTATGCATTAATTAGTATGCTGATGCCCATGCAAAAATATATGAAGTTTTAAACTTCAGGTTTTCTCTTGACTCTCTGATAAAACTACAGTTGTTTAAATCTGCATATTCCAGTTTAACTAAACAGTGGATGGGACTTAACTGTCAACCACTATCTTTACTACAAATTCAGTGATTATATAAAGGCAGAAAAATAGTTTAGAGCTTTCAGAGTTGAACATCTTACCTTGAATCGTGTTGTTTTCCTTTGATTTTTATCTAGTTTTGGCTTTTCCGCATAAAGAGGATTGCTAAGCAAAGCTTGCGCATCAGGTTCAAACTGCACAGACCAATCCCAAACTGAAAGAAAACTAAGTTTGCTGCCTTGTGTATCAAGGCTTCCCCCATACTGTCAAAGAAAAACAGGCTAAAATTAGAATCTAGAAATATGATTTGTCTAATACATGGTACTTCATACCTTATTGCATAGAACCTCTTTACTTCAGAGATTTTGAATTGCCTAACAAAATCTCTAGACTACATAACCTTAGATGTCAACTTCTATAAAATGAACATAATACAAACTGATTTTTAGTTTTCTTTTATGAAATTCACAATAAAAATAAAGATTCAAGCAGTACACAAATATTTCTGTAAGGCCCCACAACTTGAACTGTTCTCTTACCATGGCCATCTCTCTCTGATGTGGAGAATTGAAGAAAAAGGTGCTAAATATAGGTATGTAAAGACTATCTGACAGGACAGTTAGATAAGTCTCTGTAAACTCAAATGCTGCTGGATATTGTTGAACCAATTGCCATACACAATCCAAGAAGAATAAAAAAACTGGTGCCTAAAAAAAAAGAGTAAAGTAGTCTAGAAATTATTTGACATACCACTTAATAGTTTCTTACATTTATCAAGACATAATTTAACAAGATATGCATATTGTGTCCCTCTCTCAAAGGCCTCTCATTAGAGGTATAATAGGTGGGATAGGAGTATTTTCAGTTTCAGCACCCAAATTATGGAAGAACTTCCCAGGAGAGGTTGTTCTTGCATTATTTTCCCATTTTTAAATGGGATTTCAAAATCCTATTATTCAGGCAAGCTTTTGCCCTATATTTTAATCACATACAATGAACTTGTGATACTTCTGTCATTATACTAGTGCTTGATTTATTGTGTTTTGATGTATATTTTACCTTGGATTAGGCTATTTTACTAGAAATACCTTATGATCAGAAAGTCTTGAATGCCAATGAACATGTACATTGGAAAGTATGGTTCTGCACACTAGTTTATACAGAGTCCTGAACATTGGTAGTATTTTTAAAAAATCTGATTATTTAATAATCAAAAGAAGTCAAAAACTTGGGGATTAGTGTTTGCTAGTTTCCTCTTTAGTACACTTGGTATATTATTGCTCCAAACACATGCAGAATTTATTTCATCATTAGATTGTTATACCTCCTCTTTATCACTTTGCCGCAAATGGTTACATCGCTCCAAGAAAGCATGTCCTCCCATAACCCATTCTTTCTGAATAAGGCTTTGAAATCCCAATTTTGTTCTGCAGTATGAATCCATCATAACTTGAACCAGAGAAGTAATCACACAACATAGATCAGAAGCATTTTCCTCTAAAGAAAGACAGAGAAAGTGAAGAATTTGAGACACAATAAATAATTTTATGGATGCTTGAACTGAGTACATTTGGGAAACACACTGTTGTTTATTAACAGTCCCTTTCTTAGAAAAACCTTGATGTCTACAATAAGGTATTAGCTACTTCAGCACCCATGAAGAGTTTACTGAATATCCTTAACTTCCCACCTTTCTATTCAGAGATCTTTTCACAAACTGAAAAAAGACTATGATTTAGTGCTGATACAAGATCCACAGTAGTGACCAAAACATTGTTTACCCAGAAATATAGAGTACTTTTGCACAATTACATTTTTTGGTAATTCTCTTGCTTTTTTAGTTGTTTTCCCTGCCCTATTATTAGGCAAATGAGAAGTGCAATTCCATCAGCAGCGTGAACAAAAGCAATATGTCAGTGTGGTCAAGGCAATCACTGCACACAAGAGGACTGCATACTACATTAACATTACAGATAGCAATACGCACAAGGTGGGATAACCCATATAACATATAGTTCACTATGTGACACAAACACAGTTGCATGGAAGAACCAAATATGGCAGGATAGACAACTTGTAAGCCAAATCTGTAGAGGATTATAACTCCCATAACTCCTCACCACTGGCTATGCCTTAAAGTGCTGATGGGAGTTGTAGGCATGAACATCTGGAGGGCCACAAGTTGCTCACCTCTGAAATACAGAAACTCCAGGAAGGTTTTAGGGCCCTAAAACTAATAGCGTATCCAAGCACATCAGAGACAGCAATCATTATGTCAGCTTTAAGCCTTCTGAGCAACAAGGTAACAGAACAGCAACAGTCATGCTAAATACCAGTCTCTCTAATCTACCCATCTGTAGGCTAGCCAACAGGACTACTCACAGGTGGAGAAAATGTGACAGCAGAAGACAGGGTCTTCACTGAAAGGAAAACAAGGAGATGAGATAGATGGAAGATTCAGGTGCCTAGCAAAAGTCACATGTTAAATGGTTCCTCCAACTAAGGCAACATTTCAGAACGAAAGGCAGTTACTTGGTGTGCCTTAGTGAAGGGGCCATCACCATGTATAAGGCTAACAAAGGTCTACAGATTCAGCTACAGTGAGGAGCTTAGCACATTTCCTTCTGAATCTAGAAATGAAAAACAAATGCAGTGAAAGGGGGTCTAGTTATCTCTTCTATAGATGGTCCAAAGAAATAGGATTAGAGCATGACATGCTTATCACCACCATCCACATTCTGTATATGAAGTTAGAGGAACCAAGGCAGATGAAAAGTAAGGAAACTAAGGCAGGAAACCAGGAAGTGTCTCTCAAGCATTAATTTCCTCAAGTATTACTTGTAGAGTAGATTAAGTGAACTTCTGATCAAATTGCCAAAGCAGCAGCAAACTTTTCCTTATTCATTTTCTGCAAGTAGGCATCTCAGTGGAAGAGATTGACTAAAGAGACATGGAGTTAACAGAATATTTTGATCTGGACATAGAGAACCATGCAACCAGTTTAGCCACAAGGCAAACTGTTTCTGAGACACAGGAAAACACAATCTGATTGGTTTGTTTTTTTGTGCATGCAAGTTCTTTGAATCCTAAGAATATGAGCAGTTGGAATTAGTGCAATTTACACTACAATATTCTGTGTTTAGTTAGAAAATACTTCTAGCTCCTTCTTAAAAGATCCCTCTTTCCACTGGTCCTGAAGAAACCTAGCCTGGACTTAGCCACTGGTCTATGAGGGTTAAAAGTCAGCCAACATGTCCTTCCTGGGCAAGGTACTCAAAGGTGGCAGTCAGTAAAGAATATCCAGATTTAATTCAACCTGTTTTCAGGATTTGTTTGATGACAGTCTATTTCTTGGTTGACCTGTGGGATGACCTTTGTTGAGAAAAAGACAGTAGAAGAGCAGCCTTATGAATTTTCCTGGCTTTCTCCATGGCTTCTGATCCAATCAACTAAAGTATGCGTCTCTTTAGATGGCTCTCTGGATTGAGTTTGGAAGCACCACTGGCAGTTTTGCTCTTAACTGGCATGCTATTTCTAGAAGGTGGTACTAGGAAACCACTACTGATTATCTTTCAAGGCCATGCTATGGAGTTCCGCAGGGTTCCATACTTTCTCCTGTGCAATTTAACATCTACATGGAATTGCTGAGAAAGATCTTGGAGCTTTGGTCTGAAAAGTCGCCTCTTTCGTCAAATGAGGAAGAGGCTGTTGCTGTCCTGAAACAGGCAACGGATGAGAGCAAACAACCACATTCAACCCAGATGAGACAGAGGCCTTGTTCATCAGTGGTTCATCTAGGTGGGTGAGTGGCACTGAGCCTGTTCTAGCTGGGGGCTGCATTCCCCCAAAAGGATCAGGTTTGCAGTCTGGTTTAACTTATTGACCTAGAACTGTTAGAGGCTCAATGGACCTCTGTACATCAAAACACCCTTTACCAGTTTTGGCTGCTATGCCAGCTGCAACCTTACCTGGATGGAAACAGTTTGTCCTTGCTTTAGTAAACCTTCAATTTAGACTACTGCAATGTGTTATTGAGCAGTGTAGCTGCCTTTAAAAATGAGTTAGAAGCCACTGCTGAGTCCAGAATAGGGATGCAAGATTAACCAGGACTAGGTTATTTGAACTTATTATACCTGTTCTCTTTCAGCTACCTCAGCACCTAGTCTGTTTCTGGATGCAATTTAAAATCCTGGTTTTAGGTTTTAAGGCCCTAATAGGTCAGTTTCCAGCTGACAAGTCGGGTGCTCCTGTCGAGGCTCTGGTCGAACTATGGAATGGGGAGATGACCAGGGCTGTTGACACGATCGCTCCTAAGCGTCCTCTCCCACCAGGCAGAGCCCGCTCTTCCCCTTGGTACACTCCTGAATTGAGGGCGATGAAGCAGGTTGGGAGACGGCTAGAGCGTAGGTGGAGGAAATCACGAGATGAATCTGACCAAACACACTTGAGAGCCCACTATTGGGCCTATGCTGTGGCAGTGAGGGCGGCAAAAAAGAGTTTTTTTTCCGCTTCCATTGCCTCCTCACAATGCCGTCCAGCGGAGCTTTTTCGAGTGGTGCATGGCCTGGTTAATCCAGGTCGGAAAGAAGACCTGGTTACACCCTCAAAGGCCCGCTGTGACGACTTTGCCAGGCATTTCAGGGAGAAAATCACTCAGATTCGTCACGAGCTGGATTCCACTATTGATTCAGAGGTTTCTGGGGAGACGCCAATGCTGCCGTCTGGTCCAGAATTATTGGATGAATTTCAGTTATTGCGGCCCGATGATGTGGACAAGGTGCTTGGACGAGTACGTCCCACCACTTGCCTATTGGACCCTTGCCCGTCTTGGTTAATAAAGAATTCCAAGCACGGGATTGGGATCTGGATCTTGGAAGTGGTTAACGCTTCTCTGAGGGAGGGTCGGGTGCCGGCCCCTTTAAAGGAGGCGGTAGTCCGACCGGTCCTGAAGAAGGCGTCACTGGATCCAGAGATGGCCACTAACTATAGACCTGTGGCCAACATCCCGTTTCTGGGCAAGGTGTTAGAGCGAGTGGTGGCGGGACAACTCCAAGCACTCTTGGATGAAACTGATTATCTGGACCCATTGCAGTCCGGCTTCAGACCCGGGTACGGTACTGAATCTGCCTTGGTCGCCCTGTACGATGACCTATGCAGGGAGAAGGACAGGGGGAGTGCATCCCTGTTGGTTCTCCTGGACCTCTCAGCGGCTTTCGATACCATCGACCATGGTATCCTTCTGGATAGGCTTGCGGGATTGGGGGTTGGAGGCACTGCTTTGCAGTGGTTCCGCTCCTATCTCAACAGCCAGTTCCAGAAGGTGGTGCTGGGGGACTATGGCTCTGCGCCATGGCAGTTATGCCATGGAGTACTGCAGGGGTCCATTTTGTCCCCTTTGCTGTTTAACATCTACATGAAACCGCTGGGAGAGGTCATCAGGAGGTGTGGGCTGCGGAATCATCAGTATGCTGATGATACCCAGCTCTACCTCTCGTTTTCCACCAATCCAGGTGAGGCAGTGGCTGTACTGAACCGGTGCCTGGCCAAGGTAATGGGCTGGATGAGGGCCAATAAACTGAAGCTCAATCCAGACAAGACGGAGGTCCTGTTGGTTGGCGGATCGGGCTACGGAGAGGGTGAATTGAACCTTGTCCTGAACGGGGTTGCACTCTCTCCTAGGGACAAGGTCCGCAGCCTGGGAGTGCTCCTCGACCCAGAGCTTTCACTGGAAGCTCACGTAACAGCAGCGGCAAGGAGCACTTTCCTCCAGCTTCGGCTGATTCATCAGCTGCGCCCCTACCTGGAGTACGACTGCCTGGCGACAGTGACACATGCACGGGTGACTTCCCGCCTTGACTTCTGTAACGCGCTCTACGTGGGGCTACCCTTGAAGACAGTCCGGACACTTCAGTTGGTTCAAAATAGAGCTGCCAGGCTGCTGACGGGGACTGGGCGTTATGGTCACATGACTCCAGTTCTCCGTCAGCTTCACTGGCTTCCCATTGAAGTCCGGGCCCAATTCAAGGTGTTGGTAATGACCTATAAAGCCCTAAACGGCTTGGGTCCTGGTTACCTGAAGGAGCGCTTACATCCATATATGCTCAGCCTCCCCTTGAGATCAGCGGGAGAGGCCCTTCTCCGGGAACCCTCTGTGAAAGAAATTAGGAGGGTGGCTACTCGGAGGAGGGCTTTCTCTGCAGTGGCGCCTAAGTTATGGAATGCGCTCCCCAGAGAGGTCTGCCTGGCGGCGTCGTTATTTGCTTTTTGGCGCCAGGCGAAGACCTTTTTATTTAAGCGGCATTTTAACTGTTAGTATTATTTGATCTTATCTGGCCAGGGCGGCTTATTTTATATTGTATTTTTTGGATTTTTAATGTTTATATTTATTGTAATTTATTGTTGTAAGCCGCCCCGAGGCTTCAGCGAATGGGGCGGCATAAAAATGTTTTAATAAATAAATAATAAAAATAAATATATTTTAATAACTAATTTAGTCTATTTAAATACCTGTTTTTTCATAGTGGAGTTGTTGTGATGGGGTGGGGGTAGGATTTGTTATTTGTTTTCGTATTTCTTGGAAGCTGCCCAAAGAAGTTGTGTTATGGAACTGAATACAAATGTCAATAAAATAATGTACTTAATTTCAATGGCACTCTTAGGTTGAACTTTGAAGAATCTAGTGGGAATCCTACAGGCTTGCATTGTTAAGAATTTAATGGCTCTGCTGGGGACTCTCTAACATAGCCTCTTCAGAACCATTATCTACTGGCTGATGTAAAAGGAATGGAGACAAAGTATGGCGAATCTGGGATCTCTGTGCAGGCCCAAATATATATATTCAACCTATATTCCCCACATCCACACACACACACACACACATAATTTTTAGTGATAATTCTCAACCTGGACTAATTGCTACCTGGCTTTTTCTCTCCTAGAATCATCTACTTCATTGGCCATTTCAACTGACCATCAAACATTTATGAATCTAAGAATGACTTCTTTCCCTCTCCTCTTTCTACCCTTTTTGCATAATTTCTCTTTACATTAAGAAGAGTTCTTGCCTGCAGGTTGTAATCTTCATAAAGAGCTTACAAAAATCAATTTAAGAATGTATAGTCCCATCCTTCTAGCTCTTCAACACCACTCAGGTGACTTGTGATCAAAACAATTGGTAAAAATTCAACAACATTCTAAATGAGATTTAGCAGCGAAAAGAGCAAATTATTTTCTCAGTTACACAAATGCCAACTAGAAAGAAATATGTATACAATCTAATGAAACACAGCAGGGGTGTATGTATTTAATAACGAATAATCTAAGATCCAACTACTGACTGCTGCAACATCTAAAAATAGATTGCTAAAACATAAGCTTCTTTTGCTTCATGCTGCAAAGGTTGATAAATGTATTCTCTACCCCCTCACGGTTCATTGCACATCCCCATGAACTCTGGTTAGGAAAATCCTGTTTCTCCTACAAGGAACAGCAGAATCAGCAATCTTCCTATTCTGTAGAAATTTAAGTATTAAAATATGTGTTCATATTCAGTGACAGGTTCTGTATAGTTCACACAGTTCTAACTGTTTAAATAAAACAATTTGATATGTAAATATATTGGTCCCTTCTCACATGGAGGATTTGAGCTGTTCTCTCTTGGAAGGGGAGAGTCAAGAGGAGTCACCATGGGCCCATAAACTGCAGGTTATGGCAAATGAATGTTCTAGTACCTACAGTGCAACTTCACATGGAAAACCACAAAGGTACCCCCTTTAACTTCACAGGGTACCCCCCCAAAGTTAAACAATTGTTTTACTGATTTCAGCAAGTATCCAACACTAAAATCAAAGGAACAACCTGCTTTGCTTAGGTTGGACTGAGCTCCAAATATACTATGGGGTAACACTCAAGTACTGCAAATTTATGAGTACAATTTAAAGCATTAATGGAGCATCCAATTCAACTGTTAAGACTTGGATTATTCAATCTTTCTTCTTTGAATAATCCTCCATACAGCCAGGTCGATATGTGCCAAATGTAACCCATAAACGAGAATGTTACAGCAGCACATCTATACTGGAACACAACCACTTTAAAATACAACTTCAGGACAATTCTAAAAAGCAATTTACAAATCACTTCCTTCCTTTTTTATGCATAATTGATAACTGTTTTACTTCACCTACTTAGAAACAGCTGGGTGGAAGGCACACAGAAAAAAAGCCATGTAACCCTCAACTTACCTATAAGGAGAACATTTGTATTCTGTGCTTCTAGTGACTCAATAACCTCTACTGCTTTTCTCAGACACCTCCTATAATACGGAAAAATAAAGGCTTTACCATAAGCACCTGAAGTAAAGATATGTAAGTATGAAGTGAAGTAATGGTATTATTAAAGGACTTTGAACAACTGCCTCTAGCTATCATTTCTTAGATTTAAATTCACATTAAAATCTGTAGACACATATTTAAAAGAGGTCCTGTAGCATTTTAGGGACTAGCTGGTTTACTGTAGCATAGTCTTTCAGAAGTAAACCTATAGATGCAGTTTAATAAGTTGGAATTTAACCAACCTTATGATTTCCAGCCAATTTGTACTCTCCAGTAATGAAAACCATTTTACATCAGTATCCCAGAAGTCTCCACTGTTATCTGAAAATTAAAATATTTTTCTATTACTGGAAGAAGTAGAAAATTTAGCAAAAGGCACTGTTGTGTCTCAGTTACATCTACCTGTATTTTTGTATCTCTTGTCTAAATTATGAAGTAGAACATTAAGTCATCAATGCAAGTGCAATTCAGAAAGATGCATAATAAATTCTGGACAAAAAAGTAGAGGGCTAAGAAGAGAATGCCAGACAAAAGGTATTATTTAGTAAAAGTTCTACTAACTGCAGGTAGAATTGAGCAAGGAGCAATCACACCAAAAAAGGGTGGGGGTCACATGAGACTCTAAAGCCCCTCTTCAAATAAGCTACACAGTGGGCAGGCTTGATGCACCCAAAAAAACCATCAGGCTCACAGTGGGTTTTGTTCCTCCTTCCTAAGTGGTCTTCCACCTTCCTGCATCCTTGCCTCTTCCTCCTGTCTCCAGTTACTTTTTTTGTTTTCCACCCTTTGGTGGGGAAGAGTGGGTCAGAGCCTCAAAAGTGCATAGTTGGGGTAATTATCCTCCAAACCCAGGAAATTGAGCAATTGCATTTGTCATTTAAAAAAAAAAGTATTTTAGATGTATGCAGGTATGCACTTCCAATTGTTTGATATAGGTTAATTTCACCTAGACAATGTCCTTCTTTGTTTCAGTCACAGAAACATAGAAAAATATGCCCACCCGCCCCTTGAGATCAGTGGGAGAGGCCCTTCTCCAGGAACCCTCCGTGAAGGAAATTAGGAGGGTAAGTACTCGGAGGAGGGCTTTCTCTGCAGTGGCGCCCAATCTATGGAATGCACTCCCCAGAGAGGTCCGCCTGGCGCCGTCGTTATTTGTTTTTCGGCACCAGGCGAAGACCTTTTTATTCAAACATTATTTTAATTGTTAGTATTATTTATTTTATTCTTTGGCCAGGGCGACTTAATTTATATTGTTAATTTATATTGTTTTATTGAATTCTATTTATTTATGGTTGTGAGCCGCCCCAAGGCTTCGGCAAATGGGGTGGCATAGAAGTCCAATAAATAAATAATAGATAGATAGATAGATAGATAGATAGATAGATAGATAGATAGGGTGAGTCAGAAGGGGCCTCCAGGACCATTTAGTCTTGATCCCTGGCTCCAGACAGCTCTGCTCATGACATGCCTACCATGTGCATGTCCAGCTTATCCTTAAACACCCTCACCGATGGGGCTTCAACCACCTCCTGTGGAAGCCCATTCCATACCCTCGGGGTCCTGACTGTCAGGAAGTACTTCTTGGCATCCACCCTAAATCTTGGTTCCCTGAGCTTTGCTCCACTGGAACGCATCCTGCCCTCCATTGCAGGGGAAAAAGGATCATGACCCACTTCTGTGTGGTATCCCCTCACATACCTGTATGTTGCTAAGAGGTCCCCCCTCTGAGTTTCCTCCTCTCAAGGCTGAAAAGACTCAGCTCCCTCAGTCTCTCCTCATATGGCTTACCCTGCAAACCAGCCACCATCCTAGTGGCCCTTTGCTGCACTGGTCAAAAGAAGCAAAGTGCTGTTGATAAATGAGATGGAAATTGGCACTGTGAGACTGTACAGAGGCTCCCTGACTGTCAGGTAGCTGCAGTAACAGCAGTAGTAAGTGCTCCTAAAAGGAGCCCTAAAAAACTGAGATGGCTACTATCTCTCCATTTCTGGAATGACTGGAGAACCAGGCAAGTGTCAAAAATGTGGAAGGCAATAAAAATGGTCAACATTTGAAATCCAGAAGATCAAGTTGCTGCTGGGGAGATACTGTCACAAGGCTCTTTGGCGCACCTAGATTTTTCATGTCTACTCATGATTTTCAACTGACAGCTTAGCAATTATGACCAAATTAGCCTATATGCAGTCTCACCTTGACAATATCCATCAATGTTACCAACTGCACTTTACTCCCTTTAATTAAGTGAAACTTTCAAGGACATTGCCCAGACAAAATTCTACATGTTGGACAGCCAAGTGTGTACACTTGCATACCTTCAAAAGAACAACAAAAAATAAAAATCATGAAGCCATCGGCACACATTTTGGGAGCCATTTTTTAAATGCAAACACCAGTGATGTTCGCTGCACTGTGCCACATCGGTATCAGTGCAACAGCACAAACAAAATCATGAAGAGTGACAAGGGGTTTTTGCCGCTCTTGCCAGTAATTCAAACCATAAGCTGCTCCCTGCAACCCATAAAGGAATTAGTCCCCTACATTCATACAGTATAACAACTCACCACAGCTAGTTACCCACAGTGAATTGCTGTGTTGTGAGAACCCAGTCAGTGAGAACACACTGAGCAGTGGTATTGGACAAGGACGGGACTCAGAGTACCAGTCCTTTGTAAAGTAACATCATGATATGGCTGTTATTACTAAAAAGCTAGAATTATAAGCAGTCGAGTTGGAAGGGGCCAATAAGGCCATCAAGTTCAGCCCAATGCTCAATGTAGCACTCCAAATTAAAGATGTTGAACCCTGATTTAAGATACATGATGCACATCATGCATCTGCAACTTGCTAATTTTTCTAAAGGAGTTCCATCATGAATCAAGAGCAAATAAAAGCTTAGCTCCAAATTTAAAATCTTTGAGGGTACTTCTTCACCAGTGTTGGGGTTATCTTGAAAAAAATATATATTTTTCTCATTTTAGGAAGTCTATAAATATTCTTCTATGATTCTCTCAATATAGTTTTCACCTACCTATTAGAAACAGCTGCTTAAATTTAATATATGCAACTTGGATCTCTTGCAGAGATGGAAGACTGTTCGAAAGGTCATCAATTTTCATGGCTTCATAAGGAGGCTTATCAATGGTCTTATACATTCTGAACAAACAGAACACAAAGTTTTTGATTTTGAAGGATTATTAGCTACTATGTTTTCTTCAAGATGGTAAATTTGCAATCCAGTACTCAGCCTAGTTTGGATACAAGACAAACCTGTAGTTTAGCACTACGTAGATGATCATGCTCAAGCACTCCACACTCCCTTCTCTTTTTGGACATATTCCAGGTGAAAAAGATTCCAGGCAGAAGAGATTCCAGGCATCAACTTCCTTCCTTAAACCAGGAGTTGTCATTACATCCAGCCTCAACCAAAGTGTAGTTTCAGTTAAACATAGTTTTCAGTTTAAGTGTGTTAATGACTTTAAATTGAATTCTAGGCTAGAAACCAACTTATGCACTGAAATATGGCTTTCAAACACTATTGTTGGAGATTCAACTGGATAAGCAGGGTTCAGCCTGTGTTGCTGCAATGCCCTGTGAACTCAGATCACCACCTCCAAAGTACATTTCAACAGGTGACGTAGCATCCTAAAGATCTGAACTTTTAAAACATGAACAACTTTCTAGCTATTTTACTTAACAAAGTCAGATTCTGCTAACTGCTCAGAAAATTAGATACTGCTCTAGTTCATGTTTCCAAAGAGGAAGTCAACAGGATCATTAAGTACATGTTAGAAACATAGAAACAGAGCGAGTCAGAAGGGATCTCCCAGGCCATCTAGTCTGACCTCCGGCACCAGCCGGCTCCGCTCACGACATACCCACCATGTGCATGTCCAGCCTATCTTTGAACACCCGCACCGATGGGGCCTCAACGACCTCTCGTGGAAGCCCATTCCACACTCTCGGGGTCCTAACTGTCAGGAAGTGCTTCCTGGCATCTAAATGGAACTTTGGCTCCCTGAGCTTTGCTCTGTTGGAACCCATCCTGCCTTCTTCTGCAGGGGAGAACAGGCTCTTCCCATCTCCATGTGACATCCCCTCTGAGTATCCTTTTCTCCAAGCTGAAGAGACCCAGTTCCCTCAGTCTCGCCTCATACCCCATCCCCTGCAAACCGGCCACCAACCTTGTGGCCCTACACTGCACTGACTCTAACCTGGCTATATCCTTTCTGTAATGAGGGGCCCAAAACTGAGCACAATACTCCAGTTGCAGGTGCACCAGAGTTGTATAGAGTGGTAGTAATACCTCTCTTATCTAGAAGCCACACTTCTGGCTATGCAACCCAGGGTGGCGTTCGCCCTCTTGACCACCGCATCACACTGCTGACTCATGTTTAGCCTGCAGTCAACCAGTACCCTGAGGTCCCTTTCACAACTGCTGCTCTCCAGTCACTTGTCACCTAACCTGTACTTATGACAGCTATTCCTACGCCCCAAGTGCAAGACCTTGCACTTATCCACATTGAACACCATCCCGTTGTCTCCTGCCCACTTCCATAGTCTGTCCAGATCCTTTTGGATCTGGAGTACCTGCTCCTCAGTTGTGGCCACTGCTCACAGTTTTAGTGTCGTCTGCGAATTTGATCAGCAGACTGTTCACCCCTTCTTCCATGTCATTGATGAAAAGATTAAACAGGATCGGCCCTAGGACAGAGCCCTGGGGGACCCCGCTTGTCACTGGCCGCCATCCCGATGATTCCCCGCTAATGGTTACCTTCTGCTTTCAGTCAGTCAACCATGCCCTAATCCACCGGACAGTGCTTTGGTGTATCCCAAAACTCCTCAGTTTCTCCACCAGGATATCATGGGGCACTCTGTCAAAGGCCTTGCTGAAATCCAGGTATACCACATCCACTGCATCCCCTCCATCTAGCCATCTCGAAAGCTTGTCATAGAAACCTTGTCATGTTGTAGTCCTCATCTATTTTTCCTACTCACACTTATTTTGATACTAGTCAAGGGAGGAATCTCCATCATTCACTTGTACATTTGGCACTTCTGTGTAAAACAGGAAACAATATGTATCCTTTGTCTTGTTATCAGGCAAGCCCAAATAGATGCAGGAAGCAGATAAAAGGCTTTTGCTTCTGGATCCCAGCACATAGAGCAAGAATCATCAGCTAGATGTGTCCGAAAACAGCCTAACCCCTTTCAATCCTAACCATTTCCTGTAAAGAATCATGTTATCTACAAGTGTTCAAACATGCCATTTCTAGTTAAGAAATAATATCTGCCTGGCTATTCCATAGTTTGGTACCAGGAGTTTTCTTTTATAAGAACTTCCAGCTTTCTTCCTGCATGATCGTAGGTTTTTGTTTTGGTAACACAGCCATTCCAGGAAATTAATTAGATTTAGCTTGCTTTTTCTATATGGTCTATACAAGACTAAATTAGCACTAAGTAAATATGTAGAAGCTTATGCATTCAAGGGCTTAAAAGTTGAAATGCTAGTCATTATTTATTAGAATGAATCTCATTTATGAAAGTACATACCACCTTTCAGTTGTACTTACAGAGCAGTTCTCAAAAAAAAAAAAAAAAAAGGATTACACTGTCTTGGGAGAATAAAATGTTTCATCTGACACTAAAAGGATGACTTAATACAGGAGATATTCACTTCAAAAAAGAAACAGGATTTCCTGGAATGTTGAGTATACGATTAGCTATTTATTTCAATAACAGAGATAAATTCTATCAGAACAGACATTCTTGCTATAGCTGAACAAACAAAAAAGCTATCCTTACTTTAGAAACTGGCTTTTATGAACTATGTTGAGTATATTTGCATTTCATTTTCTTTGTTGCATCTACCGTTTATTGATTTTTGTACCTGTACTACTATTTTTTATAGCTAGAATAAAACAATAAGTTCATTCATTTGAAGGACTGCATGGCTAATTGGTGCATTTGTATATTCTGTTCTCAAGGCCAAGAAAGTTTACATAACTGATTTTGAAGACCGAGTGATACACAGAACCTGCCTAGGCTGATCCTGTTCTCTGCAGACAGATATTCTAGGCAAATATCACCAACTGTGATTAAAGGTGGTGAGAAATTCAATAATTTTTTGTCTGGAAGACATAGTACAATGTACAAAACAGTAACAGCTTTCCATAGCAAACAACCAGCATAAGTCAATAGTCATTAATAAGCAACATGCAGCTCATAGTACATCCAAATATTTTTATAGTATGGTATAAAGCATAGATTGGTGGGAAGACCCTCAGCAAACACTTTTTCAAGCAATGAAATGAGAACTCCAAGAAGACTCATAGTACTACCTATATTATACATCCTTATATATTGGTATATAAAGTTTCATTAAGTCTTCTGCCCCCTGTGTTATTGTAGGTGGTCATTTATCAATCCAATGTTGTAATATTAATCTTTGAGCTATCAAAAGGGCATGGAGAATTCATTTAGGTTGACCTGGCACTAATTCCAACAGAAGGAATTTGTAATTCATTAAAACATGTAATGAAAACTGTGTATCCTTATAATATTTTAACAAACTTTCCATCACAAGATTTATCTTAACTATTACCTCCTCCCAAAAGGAAGGTGCCACTGTGCACTGACAAAACCTATGGAGCAGCAGTATGCCTCCAACAATTAGATGATTTAATCAAGCCCTTATCAAACAGATACTGTTCTTTCCAGGATACTGAAAACATCAATTTTTGGTCAATTTAATGTAAGATCCATAACTCTTGCAAAATGGAGGATAATGAAGTACTCCACTGACTGGGCAAAATGGGGTGCCCCCATTCATTGTTCTGTTCTTGGTGTATCATTTTTATTCCCTGATAATAGATACTTATACATATAAAATGTAGGCCAATGTAGCTGTTCGGCCTCAGTCAAGACTTCCAATGACATAGGCAGCTCTAAAGCTGTAAAAGCAACAGGGCCATTTCTAGTTTCTAACAAATGTTTCAGTTGTATATACTGTCATGCAGTCACAGCTGATAATATATTATAGAACACAAACCAGAAAACAACAAAAAGAGAAATCTCAGGACAAGTTGACCCAATTTTTAAAAATCAGTTTGTCCACTTAAGTCCACCAAACAGTCTTTTTCTTGCCAATTTTAAAATCTGGCTTCCGCCATAATGTTATTTTTACATGTGATTACATCAGATTGTAATTTAAATGAAAATATACACTGCAACTGTAGTTGCAACAACTAGAGAAAGCACATTACTTTGGTATAATGAGAGCCCAATGTGATCCACTTGGAAAGAGGATCCAGAAATAAAAATTGTAGAACTGACCAGGGAGAGGAATCTAAGTGGAAAAAAACAATATCTACTGCAAGACAGCAAATCGGACTGACAGAATAAAGAAAGGTCAAAGAGACCAAATTCACTTTCTTTGTTTGAAATTGCATCTTTTTCAAGGCTATTTGTGATAAGTTAAAAATTTCAGAAGCTTAAATTTTTGCTTCACAAGCACTTGCCAAGTATAAATAATACAGGCAGTCCTTGGGCTACAAATGTCCAAGTTATGAATAACCTGTACTTACGAGCGAACTGCCATAAAGCTTATTAATTTAAAATTTGAGTTAAGACCTACTGCAAAATTTGTCATCACTGTAGAGAAAAAAGAAGTAAAGGGGAGAAAGGGAGGCCTTCAAAGCATGCCTTCTTGCCAGTCCATTAGGAGAGAGAAATCTCTCTCTTTGCTGCAAAGAGGATGCACTGCTGAGTTTGGGGGAGGGGGCTAGGAATATTCGTGGTTCTTCCACTTTTGTGGTAGTCCTGCACTTGTAACCCGCACAAATGTGGAGGGCCAACTGTACATGATCCAACTTACGCATTTGACTTAAAATCAAATTTCCATTTTCTCAGGCGTGGAACTTGTTTGTAACCCAGGGACAGTTGTATCACATATAATTTAAAGTGTATCTACCCTGCTACATACATTTAACTTTACAGATTCCTATGTCAATGTAACTTGATATCTTATTAAGTAGCTTACTTAAATTTAACTTAATCATTAGTGATATGGTATGTGATATGTCTCATGGGATAAGTATTCCCAGATAAGTAATAAATTAAGTGCAAAGTCTAAATGTCCAGTTAGATCACACACTAGGAGGCACATTATATCCAAAAGACATACTTTCTGTCTTTGACTAGTTAATCGAATAACCAGATAAATGTACAAAATCATTTATCATCTGCATCAAAGCAGGAATAGATGACTGAACTTCTGAAATAAACAATGGTTGATCATCAGTATAGAGATTAAGTTTATAGTCTGATTCATTATGCATAAATCTACAAATATTAGGGTTTTGTCAGACAGTACATTCCAGGGGTTCCAAACATATATCAATCATCAAAGGGGAAATGACATCTTCCTCTGGTACATCTCTGAAGTAAAAACAAACTCAGAGAAGACTTCATTAGTCCTAACTCTGGTTCTACGTGTTTAATATACATTTTTAACCAATTTCTGAAATTCTGGAGGAAGACCAAAAAATCTTAATGTTGCAAAGATAAATTTAGTTCTAATCTCCCCCCATCCTTTCTCCAACAGTGTGGTTTTGATGTTTTTGTACGGAACAATAAAATAGAAATATTTTAAAAAGCAATGAAGAGAGATCAACTATTACTGACCCATCCAAGAAATGTCTATGCATTTGTGAAGCATTATCATCTTGTTCTTTGGGGAAAGTAGACATCTTGAGAAGAGCAGCACCATTATGACAAGACCAACACCAGATCTGCAACATACATTTACAGAAAGCAGTCAGTTATATGAGAGGGACATTACTTTTCTTATGAAGAGTGCTTGCAACTTTCAGTCTGTAAATTTTCACTTAGATTAAATGTGTTTATTAAACCACTCTAGCATGCATGAAGATGTTCTTTTTGGAGCAGCTAACAAGACTGCAATAGCTTCTAGATGAAAATCAATTAAACTGGTTTGAAATTAAGTGTTTTCTTTCAGTATATCATGGTTTGGAAGATGATATTGAAGGTCTGACTCACATGTTCCCTCTCTACTCGCCTCTTTGTTTTTGCAAGCCACAACCCTATTTCAGGTGTTCTATTTCTGAACATATGAGGAGAGCAGGGACAGACAAATCAACACATTCCTACCCCAGCATTGCCATTCTTGTTGCTTTCTATGACTTGGAGGTAAATATCTTTACTGGGGAGCTCCTGCAAGTAGGGTAGGCTTTCTGCTGCAGATGTTATCTTTCCAGTTTGTGCAGAGTGATGAGGACAGTGATGAGAGAAGAAGCTAATGTGCTCATCTTTGCTTTTCCCACAATGTCTTCTGATTCTACACTTGAGTAGAATATCTGAATATGGCAACAGTTCACCTCCAAACCAAAACTGAAAACTCAGCTTAGACCATATTTTCTGATCTACTGCATATAGAAAGATGACATTGTCCATATTCTGTAATACTAATTTCATGCTTGCACAAGTATATAGAAATATATATAACTTAAAATTAAAGATACATACCTAATATTCGGTTGTTTAGCCTGTCACCTAACTTGCTTCACCTCTGTTCTTAAAATGCACTCAGCTGAATTATTTATCAGATTCTCAGTTATATGGGAGAAAGCCTAGAATTCAATAGATGCTTGGAAATCTATTCACACTTGCTACAATATACTCACAGGAATTCCTCTTCCTTGATACTGCAAAATGCACTCTTCAGAGACAGCCATGGGAACAACAAAGTATGCTGGCAATCTAAGAAAATGAAGTTTAATAAATTTAACTCTAAGCATGCACTTACTAAGCTGAAGTTTACAGGAGCTTTACATTTTAAAATATTTTTTCTTCAACTTTACCTCATTTCTGTCTCCACATAACAGTGGTGGGGAATGGAGAGAGAATTGCTGCACTTGAACACAGATGTAATTCAACACTGAAGTGAGAACTACAAAGCATTCAAAGAACAGGAGATTCACAGAACAGAAACTATTGCTAAAGGGAAGAGAGAGGCCTTTGCTTTTGCTTGCTATTTTAAGGCTCCATGCACACTTTAACTGTGGTGAAAGGAAGTGTCTGGCTTCTAGAAAAAGACTTCTCAAAAAGAAAGCACTGCAGATATTGACTGGATTTGTACAATATGTTAAACCATAAGACACAGTGGTTTAGCATGATGTCTGAACTGAGGCATTTCTAATGGTAGGGTTTATTAAGTCCACCACTGTGCTGTCCAAATCCAGACAACAAAATAGGCCATGATCAAGTCAAAAAAATTGACAGCCACTTGGCAAGAGCAGCAGAAAGACATGCTGCTCTAGCCAAGGGCCCAGTGGGCAACTGCCTTTCCTAAGCACCCTGAAGTGCCAAAGCAGCATTTAGGAACATTCGGAAAAGGCTTCCTCCATCCTGCTAGCAGTGCATACTTCAAAACTTGTGCAACCATGTAAACAGGCTTGTCTCTTAAAATTAGAAAACTTATGCTCCTCCTGGGGTTTTCCTCAGGATTTGCCACTTCCCCAAGATGCTATTCAGAGTAAATTACAAAACTGAAAAGGCAACTGAAACTTCATAGCATCTCAAATAAACCCTGGGGATTCTTGCCTGGTAAGGGAGCAAATTGGGGGAGTGTTTCCCCAAACACTTTACAGGTTCTTGAGGGGTCCTTTTAGGGAAGACTATCTGCCTCTGCTACCCACACTGAGTGACAATAGCCCAGGGCCACAAAAGTAGCCACCAACAAACCCTGCCCTGCAAGTTTTCTGCTATAAAGAATGCCATGTACACCTTTTTAAAATAGTTAAAAGTGATTAGCAGTGAGCTAAAAAGTTATATGTATTGTGCCCATAACTTTCCAACTTTGTAGCCCACTACTACTTCAGAATTTTTAAAAAGTAGTATATAGACAGCACTCTTTATAAACAAAAATAAAAAAGTCAAGCCACAGCAAATACTAAATGGCTTGCTGAAGCTCAGGGGGTATCTCTATCCTACAGAAGTGTTTTTTGAAATGCAGGAAGCTGAAGAAGGGAAGAGACACACAACTCCTGTTGTGCTTTATCACCTGTCAGGTGAAGAGGAATGTTAAAATGCATGTTTAGAATTTGCAAGGGGCTTAACATGTTAGATGGAAGGATCACATCTTTAGCAGTCAATGGAATAAAAAATGCTAGCTATAGTTTCACCCTTCCAAATTTGTACTTTCTCCCATTCTGCAGTTGTTTATGTAGAGAGAAGGATGCAGAATGGCATGTTCCATGGTCAATCCAGCTGTGGTGGTTTGACTCAAATGGTCTGGGGGGCTAAGTACAAGGGAAAGGCAAGAATTGGAAAAAAATCAGTTGAAAATTCGACCTGTTACGATTATAATGCTTTGCTGTGGGCTCACTCTGTGTTAAATGAAGTTCAAAAGTAGTATGTTGCAGTGAAGAATGATATAAAATTAACGCTTTCCTTGCTATCTGTTTCTGAAATTCTTAGATGAATTATTTGGCTACTAAAATGGGCTCAAGTGAGGTGGGTGGGGTGGGTTAATTCTAGGAACAGCCAGTCTGCACTAAGGTGAACCAACCAACTTCTCAAACTAATATGCAGACAAGATTGCAATTAGCCTCCCATTTACACACCTGTCTCAATTTTGTGACATTTTTCTGCTAAAGGTGTACAAAGCATGTACAAAATTATTTTTTTATGAAATGTAATACTCAAACATATATTCTCATTTTTCTTTAATTTGTAGGTTGATGCAGAAAGAGAACAGCACAAATACTGAATACTAACATGGAATGGAAAGAGATCTCTCCACCTTTGAAGAGACAGCAAGGAACTGCCAATTACAATTCCTGCTTAGCAGAGAAGCCAAACATCAGACTTCTGCCCATGAACAGGATGTTTCTTGGTTTGCAGCACAGATTCTCAGGATTAAAAACAGCACACAAGCCTTGAAGAGGCCTGATTCTGAAAGCGATTAATTTTAACTGCATTGAAATAGGACACACTATGTACCTCACTGTAAAGGCTCAGAAAGCATTGCCAGCATTTCAGTAACATCCACCTGCTTATACATTTTCTACTTAAGTGATTTCATGATTGTAATCACTACGGAAATTAATCCTGCCAGTCCTGCTGCTGCAACAAACTCTCAAGCCAGGAGTCAACCTTTTTGGCCATGTGCAAGTATCTGGGAATTTCAGCAAGTGATGTGGGCAGCTATCTGTCATGGTTAATGATTTTAGGTGGCATTTTATTCAGACAAAAATGTTTTTGTCCCTGGACACTGTAATCATTCCTTAATAAAGAACTATCAAATGCAGCTAATTGCTTGTACTGCAATACAGCTAATGTTTCTTTTAAATAGGTGCTTTGGCCATGTCCAGTAATTATCTCTTTTGAAGGGAAGCTTATTACATCAATAAACTTTGTACTGAAACAGCTCTTAATAGTGATGTACATTATCTTTGCTTGTTTCATGGAAATTAAACTGTCGGCATAAATGCATTTTCTGAACTTTTTTGATAACAAGAATACTGATCTTACAACATTATAACTAGCATTGGAAAGATGAACACCTTGTATAATGCAATGGATTGAGAGCTTTACCATGCTTTCAATATTCATATGTGGCATATAAATGCCATCTTCAAATGGATACTTAGCATGTTATTTGGTCAAATTTTGTTGAGACTTATGTGTATTTCATAAGAAATTGTGTATTTCATACAAATCCATGCATGTACATTGAAAAAACTTGTTTTTAAATGGGAAGCTGACTGGCACCATGTTGAAGACAGTTCCATGATATGAGGTATGTGGCTCTGCTGCTGGCATAATGGATATACTGAAAGCAAGATATTTTCTGACAAGGAAAATTGCCTTGGATGTGCCTTATTTTTAAAGGATTCTGTTCAAACAGCTTAAGGGCAGCCAAACTACCTTGTCAATTACCAATTATTACTATTCAAAGGAATCTGTTCATAAAACCAGTTTGTTGTATGGATTATTTGAACAATGGAATACTAGTATACATTTATACATGTAAACTATACAAATAAAGACTGCATTCCTACCTCTTAGAGATTTTGTAGCCTTCATTGGCACTCATTGCTTTGAATTTTAGGTTTCCTTTGGTACGCTCCAACTCTTGACGCCAGTCCTTAATAGAATCAAACATCATTGTTTGAGTCTTTATTTCTGTTAAAAAAACCAAAATGGTTAGATTTAGCTATTCTTAATTCTTCAAGCGGGTTTTATGTCTTGACTAAAAACTTAAAGTAATATTTGGAATGGTTAGTTTAATACCATGGACCCACTAGAAAGTTTGTTTATATAGTTATCTTTTTTAAATTTTGGTGTTTGATGGTAGAAATTAGCACTGAGATGTTTCCAAAAAGAAACATCACTTCATACAATGTCCACAACCCAAAGCACATGCTCCCAAAATTTTGGTGAAACTTGCAAGGAAATTATTGCTTGTCCATGCACAACATTTCATTTTGAACTATTCTCAGATCCTCAATCTGCTTTTCTGTCTCAAAACAGTTTGAGGAACAGTGTATGTATTTGACCAAGCAAGCATTCTAAAAAGTAAAGTGCAGAAAATTCACATGCATGTGTGTTCCTTTGTATTGTGATTTATACACACTTCACTACTCTGGCTTACAATCTGTTTACACCTTTTGGAATTGGAGAAGCATTACAAACATTAACATGAAACACTGATTTTATTCAAGTGTTGGATATGCAACAGCATTAACTAGCATCTATACATCTATAATACAGATCTTACACAAGATCACTACAGTTATCCACAATGTATGAGAGAAAAGCATTTGATGAGAGATTTTCATAAATAGTAGTATGCAGTGTCAAAATTCTAAGAGAACGTAGTCGTAAGTAAAACAAAATTCAGTTTATAAGAGATAGTCATCATGCTTCTCAGAATAATTTCTTCAATTACAGTGTTGCTTCATTACACAATTAGAATGTATCATTCGATCTACTCAAAAATTACAAGGAAATACATAAGCTTTTATCAGACACTGGTCTGCCAAGAATCTCAGAGAGACTGGAAAAACTACATTTTATGGTTGTTTTATATCTAACTCTTTCCCTCCACTGAAATAATCCCTATTTGGAAAGCACATTCTTCCCATGATTTATTATGTATAAGGCATTTTGTTTTGCTATAAGCATAAAGATCAGGGTAACCCAAAACATAATAGGACACTGCTAACTATGAAAAGGACTAATCATGCAGGTATGAAATCATGGAGGGAATTCGTCTATGGAAGGAAAAGAAACTGTCCTTGGAATTCTAACAGATTGATCTTGTCTTTCCTTTAACTCAGTATTTACATATCAGAAGGATAAAAGTCAGCAAGTAGAATAAAATGCACGAGTGAAGACAGGCCAGGGACTATCGGAAGCAGAGTGTGAAAGCTTTTGACATCATCATGAAGCATCTGTTCTGACAATTTCAGGGTACGACCAAGATGACTACCTATTCTTAATTACACTATTTATAATTACATTTCAGGAAACTCTTTTTTAAAAGTAGCATCAGACTAAAGAAAGCAGCTGCTGCAATAATGCGTTTGGAAAGGATCAGGCAAGGTATGAATTTTCCAGAGTTTCTTCCCCAAAATGTGTGGGCAGAGACTTGGCACAGCCCAAAATATCACATAAGTAAAACAATGTTTTGGTATAAATTGTGCTTCTATTGCATGTGTTTATCGTACTTCACTTTGGCAAAAATCTAAAGTTTGGGGAGTGCTCCTTACTATATGCCTGATACAAAAGGTTAGTAAACGTCTGGCTGTTATCTATGATATTTGGGTACATAATCTGACACCTTGGTTAACACCAATGCCTTATTCTCACAAAAACATTTGCCAAATGGGCAATACATTTAAATTTAAAGATGTAGATAAATCTTTATCCTTCTTCCCTACGTCCCCACAGCTTGGCTTGATCTCAACACAGTAAACAGCTACATTTTCTTTATTATTGATCAGGCTCCAGAAGTGATGGCATCTATCCAATACTACACTTATTTCAGTTTGGCTCCTGACAAAACAAGAGTATTTTTCTGCAGAATTTTCACTCTGAATAAGACAATTTTGTGTCTGTCTTAACACAGCCACTTTCCGCTCTCAACTATGTGTTATTTATCAAATAAGAAGCCCATGCATAAAGAATGAGTTTTGCCATTTCCCCTCAAATTCATATTGTTCTTACCAAAAATTCAGACAATTCAGTCACTACAAAAATTAGTGTATTTTTAATTAAAGACTCAACACCCCCCCCCTTTTAAGGGTTGAACCTTAAGCAGATGTCTACTAAAGCACATCTCTTTGATACCGCACAGATAAGCATTATCTCACACCTGCACATAATTTGTAATAAAACCCACCTTACTACTTCGCAGAAGGATACAGATGATCAAGCTAACTATTGTAAGAAGCTGGTCTGGTCTGCTGTATGAGTTATATAGCTGCTCTATTAAGAACCAAAGCATACAGAGACAGAAAATTGCATATGCTCACCTGTAGCATTTGGTACAGCTGTTGCATAAGAGAATAGAAACAAGCGTTTAAACAGCTTAGGAGTCTGCGTTTGATGAACAATGCCACTGACGATCTAAGAAAGGATTAACAATTCAACACACTCATAAATCAGAACAGGTATTAGCCAGAAGAAATGAACAGTTAAGATCCTGTAAGACTGGCACACAGTCTGCTCAACCAATATAGCTTTTCACTCTTTTAATGAGCTCCATGTATCCTTCCCCATTACTATGGACAATTGCTTGTAGGGGATGGCCTCTGATCAATGTATTGTTTATAGTTCTATAACAGCAACACCAATCAAGGCTACACCATCAACATTATAAAATAGATGAGCCCCCATATGCCTTTAGTAAGAGTATATTTTAGTGTAATGTTAGTATTATGTTTAAAAGGAACAGAAATTCTAGTATGTACAGAAATGCCACAACCGAGACATGGTTTGGCTGCATGCTAGTTATATTCCCTTCTCTTTCTTCTATGTAATGGTTTCTTCTATGTTAAGGACATTCCAATCAGGCAAATTAGTCAATGCAAACTAGGAACTAAAGAGAGAATCAAGGCAAAACTGCAAAACATTCCTATCATCCAAATATTGTCTGGGTTGTGGTGCCAAAACAGTTCGGACACAAGATTCAAGTATGGCCACAGGAGTACACATGTCAGAAACCATACAAAGAAAGTCTCACCATTATGTAAATACAAAGTCAGTTCCAAGACAATCACTGAAGGGTTTGCATGCTTAACAACAATTGGGAAGGGGCAATTTTTCAAATTAAGACTCAGAAAACTACTTAATAGTTAGCACCCAGCAACTTAGGATGCTCTCTACTTTCCCTAAACTGGAGATCTGTCAGAGCTTCAGGAAAATACATGCACCAATTCCATGGTTATTCCTATACTCTTCTGTAAGCAGCCACCAGAGGCAGTGGAAATTAGGCCTTTCTCCTTCCCCAGTACACACTATTCCTCCCACAATTAAAAAATTATGGAGCTAGATCTCCATAAAGAAAAAAACTAAGGAAACAAACTGCTCCACTCACAGGAGAGTATTTGTTGATATAAGGTGGACACAATCAATGATGAAAGGACTGAAAATTACAACAAACCTATGTCTAAAAAATTTTATAAGCCATCCCCAGCTACTACCCATGTGCACCAGTTGCTAGGGAACTTGGGCAGGAGGATGTTGTTGTACCCATATTCTGTATGTGGGATCCCATAGACAGCTGGTTTGCCACTGTGTGAACAGAAGGCTGGACAAAATCAACCACTTGTTTAATCCAACTTGGTGGTTCTTATGCAATGTCAACTGTACTTGCTGCTAAAGATGGTCCCTAGTAAAGACAACAAATGCAATTTGTATTCGGCTTAATCTCAAATATTTCCTCATTAAGGTGATTATGTTAACACTCTCTGAAGGAATCAAAACTGTATGGTGCTTTTAATTGTGATAACAAATGACCCATAACAATATAAAACTGTAGCAAATATATTTGTCATAGATCGATATTGCATTTGAGAGTGAAAACTTTCACCATGTACTACAGTTTGTCTGGATACACAAAGTGTGCCTCCAGTAAACTGGTCTTATCATACCAAAAATGGTGTAGAAAGGGTCGCTTCCATCATTCAGGTTTAGCTTGATTGCTTCTTCCAACAGAAAGTTGCTCCAGAGAAACTCTACAATACCTTATGGGCAGAACTCAAAATGTTCTTAAACACAAGTTCCAACTTTGCAGAGACAATAGGAATATGGGGATAGAAAGAAGACATCCTTTTGTACTCAAGATTTTCTCCTGCAAATGCTTCCCATCCTCAAGTAGGTTTACTTTGACTTGGTGCACACAGCTTAGCAAGGATATCCAGCTTGTGTGGATTGTCACCCAAACTCAGGATGTTTTCCCTGGGGTAGCCTATTTTCCAACCATCCTATGACCCCACAATGGATTGTAGCATAATCCAAAGCTGGTACAGTGAGTTTAATATGGGTTGTAGAGCCACTTGGTAAGAGTGGGGAAAAAATGCCTGTGCCACTCACTTTTCATAAACTTGCCAATGGCAACCTTTTCACTGATCCTGAAATGGCACTTTGGAAGGACCGTCACTTGTTCCCTAGCATTTTAAGCGCCTCAGAAACGTGCCACTGAGGTCATAATTTTGTTTAAATCATCATCTTATTGATCTTTCAAAAGCATGCACTTAATATGAGCACTGAAAAGACAAGATTGCCTCTCAGCTAATTTGTATAGCTGCAAAGCACTGGAGAAGGGAAAGAAGGGACCTGGTAGCACAAGTGAGAAGTACAGAAACTAAGGGAAGAAAGGCAAAGAAGTGCACCAACGTTAGCGGGGAGACAATATCTCAGCTTTGCGATGTGATTCTCTCAGTTTTGTGTTGAATTGATACTTCTCAGTGTTTAACACCTTTTCAGCACTTCCAGCTACTACAGAAAGAGGAGATACTACCATCCCCATTTTTCATGGCTCCTTTTCAGAACAGTTACTCTGGTGTCCTGATAGTATTTAAAAAATGTACAGAAATGTAATGGCTGAGAAGTAAATGGAAGGAAAGTCAGAGCATCTGCAGTAACTGTTCCACTTGAGCCCAGGTTATGGAATTAAAAATGGCCTTGAGGCAGGACAGTTAAACATTTTCCTCATGTCCATCGACTGTCCCATTCAAGCATTACCTTGAGTTTTACCCTATTACTACGAGGGGAGAACATAAATCATCCTGTTCATTAAAGCCCCTCATTGAAAGGTTTATTTTTTTAAAGGGGGAATTAAGTGAGGCTATAGTTACCCTTTTAACTTCTTCCTCCTTGGTGTATCTCAAACAGAAGTGAAACACTCTGAGATCTTTGCAGTAAATTATTATTGTCTCTGGGTATTTTCTCAGTTGACCATATAGAGATTTCTTTTTCTCATCATAAACTACAAGAAAAACCTATATGTTAATTTTTAACATTTCTTCAGGCAGAGAGTCATCTGTCACTCTTATCCAGACAACCAGTAAGATAAACACACATATAGACACCCCCACCTGAAGAGTGAAATCTACCCATTTTCCCAATAATTTAGGTTACAATTATAATGACCATAGCTGGAGCTGAAAAGAAATGTACTATCATCTTGATATAGAGAATGGAAAAACCAAAGAGGCTTATCTTGCCAAACAAGACTTGGGGACTATTCCTGATATTGGAACATAGGTTTTATAGTGAGCACAGAGTTCATAGGAACATACACTTTCACTGAAGGATTTGTGAATCTTATTCTTGGTTTGGGTTACCAATGATGCATTTAGATTTCTAGTACTATTTTGTCATGCCACCATGTAAAGTGCAAATATTTTCCTTGAGTATGATGTTTTTGTCATCCATAATTCTTGTATGAAGAATCACCTATGCCCAAGCAAAGAAATCTGCATTCTTTCAACTAATACCTTCAATTTTAGAATGGTATTTTAAAACGTTTGCATATACCTTGAAGGATATTTACAGTAAAATTTAATGTAGACAATTCAACAAAGCTGGAAACAGAAAGAGGAAACCAAAAGGAATTAGGCAGGAAGAAATGTGAGGCACAGAAACCATCTAGACAATTCCAGCTTTGAGCCTACAGCAATTTTGTTTGAAACCTTCCAGAGGGTTTCTCCACTTCCTGATTTTCTCTAGATAATACTTTCTGGGATTGTAGTCTGCTGTTTCAGATAGATCGTAGTCAAGAAAAATAGAAGATCTTTTAACTTAGTTTATGCTTAGTGTCAGTACATTTAGTGAATGATAGAAAACCTGTATGTTATTCCAACACATCCAACATTGCAAAATTTAAAAACAGATCTCTCATCAAGTTAGACAACACTAAACTGGTTTCATAGACATCAAACAATCACAACAAATTTGCCAGCCTACCTCCATAAAGCTGATCTACACATTGAAGAGTGATGTCATTTTCCCCAACAATTGCATTCTTGAATTGTGGTTCCTGAAGGAAGGAAAATGCCTTAGAGTTCCCTTAACAGAGCACCATAAGAGCCCGCTTATTAATAGATTTAGACCAACATTCACATATCATCTAATCTGAAGCAATTTCTAGATCCAATTCAAATTCCTCATTTTGATTTGGATCCTTGGATCCAAAGGTGTCCTGCTGACTACCACCATCTTGTATTAGCTACAGTATTATCCACAAAAACAGACCTTTCCTGAAAGGGAGATTGGTAGCATTGTATCTGTTACCAAGAGAGATTCATATAACCTTGCATATTACATTTATGCAAGACTTTAAAAATATTCAGATTGCCTTGTTAGCCAATTTTAAGAGCTGCCTTCCTCCTATGCCTTACCATGTTATAGGTATTAAAAGCTTACTATGTTGAGTTGCTGTTCATTACTTAATTTTAAATTTGCTTTTATTACCTTGGCAATGTTGTATGTTTCTGCAGAGTTTCAGTATAAAACTTTTAAAATAAAAATTCTATACATGTTTATTCAGAAATCCTATTCACGTTCAAGAAAGTACTTCTGGGTATGTGTGCATAGTATTCCAACTTCATTTTATTTTGTTACTGTGTTACTGAAGTACTTTGTAAAAGTGCCATTCACATACTCTGCCATATTTCCATGGAATATAAGAACCAATTTCAAATCCCTAGGAATGTGGATTTTTAAAATTCTATTCACCTACCACATTCTCGTCATACATTTTAGTTTTGTTTTCCCCGCCCTCAAGTTGCCAATCTAATAATTTGCCACTTTCAAGTGACCAGCAAATGCGAGTACAGCTTAAGTGTGAGTAGAATTCAAATTTCCCTGGATCTAACTCTACACTGTCTACAGGAAACTGTCTACAGGAAACTTTTATAGGCCTACTTAAATATTTTGTATTGACACATTACCTTAACTAGTTTCATCCAACATCAAAGGACAGCTGTAGTTTATCATCTCAATATCTTTGTATCAGACTTCCGTCCATAATGTTCAATCAGAAATGAGAAAATGTATTCTACCGTATGTAATAAATAGGATTTGCTCACAAAGATAAAGCAAAAGTTAATTTTCATTTCTTACATCCTCCAAAGCAGATTCTTCACCAAGGAATGAAATCTTGAAGTTGGTGCATATAAGTTTCCCGTAAGTACCACGATTGGATCCATCATCTTTTATATACTTCAAAACCATGTTTGCTTCACAAAGCAGCAGTTCACCTGATGGAAATTAACATGCTTCTTAGTGAAGAATAATGAAGTATTCCAGTTCTTGCATTCAACACTTCTCAAATTACATTTTACTGTAGCTGCTGAATATAAAAGAACTATATATGTACAAAGTATTTAGATTAGCCACTTGCTGCCAGTATTATTGCTCTAAACTGAATCCACTTTCAAAATTTAAGTCATTACATAATTGTGAACCTTATAAAAGAGACAAAGAAAATACTCTTAAGTACACTTGGCATAATTTTGATTAGAACTGTATTATATGGCTAGAAAATTAAAGATCAGCCCACCAGCAGCAAAACCAAGACCTGAAGCCTTCACTAGGGTGGCATGGTAGTTAGAGCGTTGAACTAGAGATTTGGGTTCCAGTTCCCACACAGCCATGAAGCTCACTGGGTGACCTGGGGCCAGTCACTCACTCTAACCTGAACCAACCTTTAGAGGGTTGATAAAAATGGGAGTGGATAAGTACTTGCAAAAGGAAGTTCTTTGCAAAAGCAAAGAAAGGCAGGATATAAATGCTATGCAGTAATAAATGCAAGGTAGTAATATTTCTTGAATTCTAGTAGTTTCCCAGTACTTGTTCATGATCATATTCATTGAACTCAAAACAGTCGTCATACCACTAGCTGTCTGACATTGGAGATCTATCTTGAAATCTAACATAGGACACCCACTTGGCTTGATGCAAAGGGCAGAGTTCTTTTACCTTAATAGGTGCACAGTTTTTTGGGGGTGAGGCAGGTACAGTTTATAATCTATATTCTACAGTAGCTAAGAATCCTTCTTCTACATGCCTATTAAATGTAAAGGAACTCTCATGGGCACCCTATGCAAATTTCTTCTAAACAATATAATGCTAGTGCCCAAATACTGTAACCAGAATTAGATTCCTGTAATCTAGGAATCTGAATCCAGATTCCTCTAAACAGGAATCACTACAATCATATGAGGGTTCCTCTAACCTAGCACCTTCTTTCTAGGCCAGGGGTCCCTAACAATTTTGAACCTGTGGCACATTTGAAAATTTGAAAAACTGTTTCTGGCACCAACACAAAATGACAAATCAGTGGATTGCTACTTTGGCATCTACCTGTGATACAAAATGATTTTAAGCTGCATCTTATTGAGCAAGAGTGTGTGTGTGTGTGTACACGCACATGCATATGTGTTTACTGGACACTGTAAGATCTCTGATGAAATACAGTTCATGCTTCTTTAAAATATAGATTTTGGCAATGTTCGGTAATTACCTACTTTTGGGGTAGGCAATTAGAGAAATTTTATACTGGAAGACACGGGATAAACATTCACCTTTTACAATGCAATAGACTGAGAACTTAGCAACACATTCAGTAAATGAATAGGTGGCATATACTGTAGATACCAGCTGCAAATACAGTATATCACAGAAGTGAGTACACCCCTCACATTTTGTAAATATTTTATTATATCTTTTCATGTGACAACCCTGAAGAAATGACACTTTGCTACAATGTAAAGTAGTGAGTATACACCTTGTGTAACAGTGTAAATTTGCTGTCCCCTCAAAATAACTCAACACATAGCCATTAAATGTCTAAACTGCTGGCAACAAAAGTGAGTAAACCCCTAAGTGAAACTGTCCAAATTGGGCATTATTAGCCATTTTCCCTCCCCGGTGTCATGTGACTCGTTAGTGTTACAAGGTCTCAGGTGTGAATGGGGAGCAGATGTGTTAAATTTGGTATTATCGCTCTCACTGTCTCATACTGGTCACTGGAAGTTCAACATGGCACCTCATGGCAAAGAACTCTCTGAGGATCTGAAAAAAATAATTGTTGCTCTACATAAAGACGGCCCAGGCTATAAGAAGATTGCCAAGACCCTGAAACTGAGCTGCAGCACGGTGGCCATGACCATACAGCGGTTTAACAGGACAGGTTCCACTCAGAACAGACCTCGCCATGGTTGACCAAAGGAGTGCACATGCTCAGCGTCATATCCAGAGGTTGGCTTTGGGAAATAGACGTATGAGTGCTGCCAGCATTGCTGTAGAGGTTGAAGGGGTGGTGGGTCAGCCTGTCAGTGCTCAGAACATACGCCACACACTGCATCAAATTGGTCTGCAGGGCTGTTGTCCTAAAAGGAAGCCTCTTCTAAAGATGATGCACTAGAAAGCCCGCAAACAGTTTGCTGAAGACAAGCAGACTAAGGACATGGATTACTGGAACCATGTCCTGTGGTCTGATGAGACCAAGATAAACTTATTTGGTTCAGATGGTGTCAAGCGTGTGTGGTGACAACCAAGTGAGGAGTACAAAAACAAGTGTGTCTTGCCTACAGTCAAGCATGGTGGTGGGAGTGTCATGGTCTGGGGCTGCATGAGTGCTGCCAGCACTGAGGAGCTACAGTTCATTGAGGGAACCTTGAATGCCAACATGTACTGTGACATATTGAAGCAGAGCATGATCCCCTCCCTTCAGAGACTGGGCCGCAGGGCAGTATTCCAACATGATAATGACCCCAAACATACCTCCAAGACGACCACTGCCTTGCTAAAGAAGCTGAGGGTAAAGGTGATGGAGTGGCCAAGCAAGTCTCCAGACCTAAACCCTATTGAGCATATGTGGGGCATCCTGAAATGGAAGGTGGAGGAGCGCAAGGTCTCTAACATCCACCAGCTCCGTGATGTCGTCATGGAGGAGTGGAAGAGGACTCCAGTGGCAACTTGTGAAGCTCTGGTGAACTCCATGCCCAAGAGGGTTAAGGCAGTGCTGGAAAATAATGGTGGGCACACAAAATATTGACACTTTGGGCCCAATTTGGACAGTTTCACTTAGGGGTGTACTCCCTTTTCTTGCCAGCGGTTTAGATATTAATGGCTGTGTGTTATTTTGAGGGGACAGCAAATTTACACTGTTATACAAGCTGTATACTCACTACTTTACATCGTAGCAAAGTGTCATTTCTTCAGGGTTGTCACATGAAAAGATATAATAAAATATTTACAAAATGTGAGGAGTGTACTCACTTCTGTGATATAGTGTAGATACTTATTTGTATATTTGTTTTGTTTTGTTTGGAACCTACATGTAATTCCTAGAGTCCTTATGAATTTCACACAAACCTATAGACATATATAAAAAGGGGAAATTAATTTTGGGGGTACCCACAGGTACTATGCTGCAGACCCTAATCTAGGCTGTTCAAGTAGCAGTTTATTGACACAAAAGATGCCTTAGCTACAACACTTTAACTTCTATCTCCACCAGCAACCAGTGAATGCTTAAAGCTGCTCTTTTTTTTTGCTAAGACTGCAGTATGTATCTAGTCAGTCTTTCCACCCTCCCTTTCAAAAGGTTGGGGCCTTGGAAAGAAAATCACTGTTCCTTTAACAGCTATGCTGTCTGCCTTGGGGAGTTTTATTGTTGTTAAAAATGTTTGATTTATTGTTATAAAATTGAGGAAACATCCTGCAAAAAAGTAAAAATGCAGTTAGACAAAGTTTGACCTATGTTCTTTATTTTAAAGCTCAATTCACCTCAGGCTAAGGAGTGTGTGGCATAAAGTATAACTGTAAAAACATTAAAATGATTTTACATCATTGTCTGTTTAACATTACCTGGCAACAAGTGAGGATCTACTTCCTTTTCTGTGGGTTCCCTTACATATACCTCCTATCAAAAAAGGAGAGCATGATATTAGTCAAATAGTAAGGAAAAGAACTTTGAGTTCCAAGTAATAAGTGCATATGTTAATGTCAAGTCACTTTAAAAGTGCTATACTGATAAAAATACAATGGTCAATGTTACATAGTAACTTAAGGTCACAGCTATGTACTCGTAAGTAGGCAATCTAGTAAACATCTTAATTTATCTGCTAAGTTGCCTTACACCAGTTTAGTAGAAATTGCTTTATTTGTGTTGAAAATCATGAACATCCCCTGTTGATGCTACTACGTCTGTAAGTTACTTTGAGAATGATCAAAGAAAGCTCCCAAGTTAAACAAGAATCTAGTACATGCTTTTTAACACAGCGGGAGCAAAAGGGAACGTGTGATCAGACATTAAGTTACCTGGGACAGATTTAACATTCCACTTGATACAGCAATCATGTATTCTTTGTCAACAGGATTGTATAGAGGTACATGATTTCCTTAGGGCACAGAATCAGCTCATTTAGATCAAGAACCACCACCAGATGCCTAGGGGTCATACTCATAAGGCACTGATGAAATGCTACATTATTTTGATGGTGGAAGAAAGCAGTAGAGCTAAATATTATTTTTTAAAAATATCTGACTCTGCTACTTCCATAAGTAGAGCATGTGCCTTGTATATCCAAGGTTTCAAGTTTAATCCCTGATATCTCCACTTGAAAAAAACCAATATTGAAAAATGTTTCTGTTCAAGGTTTTAGAGAGCCTCTGTCGGGCAGAAGAGATAGCACTGCCTAGACAGACTATAGGTCTGATTCAATATGGCAACATTTTATATTTAGTGTACTATCCCTTTTATTTTCCATATCCCTTAATCATTTCTCCAGAGTCCCAATACAACACCTCTAGCTTGTCTTCAAAAATCCAACATAACAAACTAATCAACCCTCCTTCCCTGAATTGCTCTTTCAGTAAAATTTGCTTTTTTTAAAGTAATTTTCCAGCTACATTATGCCAACACCTAATAAGATGAATGCAAAGATGCTCTTAATAAGCTACCTCAGTAGTTCTATCAGGGTTGTAGAACTCAATAAAGAGGTCAGTTTTTATGTTGTTCTTCCAACCATGAGAAGACACAAGCCACCCAACAATGGCAAGGGCACTACTGCATTGTTTGGTGGTTAGAGGGCTGGACGGGGGCCTTGGGAGATCTGGGTTCTAGTTCCCCCATCATGAAGCCCATTGGATGACTTTGGGTCAGTCACACTCTCAGCCTGACCACATTCACAGGGTTTGTTGTTGTAAAGATAAAAGGGAGTGGAGGAGGTCTATGTAAGCCACCTTGGGTTCCTCAAAGGAGTTGTAAATGCAACAATAACAGTCATCTAAAGAAACACTATACTTACAGGACTCAAATAAGTATAGTGATTTCCACTCTTTCTGGGTGGAAATCATGACTATATCTTCTTATTATTGATATTATTCATTGTATTATATATTATATTATTGTATTAAGGTTTGTTTGATTTTTGTATCGCTTACAGTTAAATATTGTATTGTTCTAATGTACAATTGTATTTTTATGAAATATGTTTTTTTGTTTTGTTTTTTGTTTTGTTCTATTGTAAGCTGCCCAGAGAGCCCTATGGGCTATGGGGCAGCATACAAATAAAGTGAAATGTAAAGTGAAAAAATGTAAAAATACACTGATATACATAAGTAGAAAGGTATGTTTGAACTCTCTGGTTCAAGCAACAGTAGATATGCTGTAAAATTTAGCAAATACCATCATAAATAATTTATTGCTTTAGTATTAATTTATCAGCTGTATCTGGTAATCTTATCCTCTGTAAAGTAAGGCATTTTATTGATCACTCAACTGTCAGCCCTTTATTTTTTCAGATACCTTTTCTGAGCTTTCTCTTCCCCTTCAGAGGGAAGGAGAAATTCAGATCAGCCATGATTATTCCTCCCCTTATAGCAGTTACATTATGGGCCACTATACCCAACTTCACCGCCCATTCCATTTTAACAAGTTAGGTGTTCCAAGATACTAATCTAAAGATCTTTTCACCTGGAAGAATATTGCAGTCCATATTTAATATGTTGTATGACATGAAAATACTTTTAGAAATGCTCAACATTTAACTGTTGGGCAAAGTAAATACAGTGGTACCTTGGCTCACAAATGCCTCAGTTCATGACCATGAACAGAAATTTTGGCAAACTCCGCTTTGGGTGACAATTGCAATCGCACCCGTCTTCCCTGCAAGGCACGATTGCAGTCGTGCTCGGGGGGGGGGGGCGGGGAGACGGCCGCCATCACACCTGTCTTCCCTGTCCAAGCGCGATCGCAACCACAACCATCTATGATCGCAGTTGCGCTTGGACAGGGAAGACAGGCGCGATCGCGGTCGTACTTGGGGGGGGGGGGGGCCGGGATCATGGTGGGGGGGGGGGGAGATGGCCGTGGCTGTGCCAGTCTTCCCTGCATGAGCATGACTGCGGCCATCTCCCCCCCAGTGCAGCACAATTGCTATTGCACAATTATTGTTTGGACTCTCCCTCCAAACAAAAACCTCCCCCGCCCATGGTTAGTGTTCTCTACTGTACTATGATTAAATTTGTGTGATAAAAAATGATTACAGAACAGATTAACCTTATTTACAATGAACCTTATGGGGAAATTTGACTTGAATCACAACCAATTTGGGTCATGACCAGAGTCCTGGAATGGTTTAAGTTCGTAAGCCAAGGTACCACTGTATATTTCTTTTCAGACACAAAGCAGTAAGAAGAAAATTGTATGTCTAATCACAATAGGACTAGAAATAAGTGGGTTAAATTTGTTATGTATTGTCAAATCATCTCTGATTTATGTCAATTCTGAATGAATGACCTCCAAAACATCCTATCCTTCACAGCCCTGCTCAGCTCTTGTAACCTCAAGGCTGTGGTTCCCTTTATGGAGTCAGTCCATCTCACAGTCTTTCTCCTCTTCTGCCTTCAACTTTCCCTGGCATTTTTGTCTTCTCTGTGAGTCTCGCTTTCTCACGATGTGTCCAAATTATGACAGCTTCAATTCCATCATTTTTGCTTCCAGGGAAAGTTCTTGCTTGATCTGATCTAGAAGCCACTCATTCCTCTTTCTGTAAAGCTCTCCTTCAGCACCATGCTTTAAATGCATTGTTTTTTCCCCCTGCAAACTTTCTTCATTGTCCAGCTTTCTCACACACACAGAGTGATTGGGAATACAATAGACTGGATGATCTTGGCCTTGGTCTCCAAGGAATCGTCTTGGAAACATTCGTTGGTTTCAAAGGAACCAATTTCTAGTTCGTTCACTGCTGCCCTTTCAAGGTTCAATTTTCTAATTTCTTGGCTGAAGTCTGCCTTTGAATTGATGACTGAGGCAAGGTATGTAAAATCTTTCACAAGTTTTATTTCTTCACTGATGACATTAAGTTGTGTAATTCTTCTGTAGTCATGATTTTGTTTTCTAAATATGAAAAGTCATGGTTATTCTTTTGCATTTTCTTGTTATACCTTCTTCAGGAGTTGTTTCAATTCATTGCTTTCTGCACATGAAATCTGAAAAGCTTTTGATGAATCTTCTACCAATTTTCACTCCTGTTTCCGCTGATCCTAATCCAGCTTTTCTTATATGTTCTATGTACAGACTGAACAGAAAGGAAGATAAAATATACCCTTGCCTATAGGAGACTGTTCAGTTTCTCTATATTTTACCATAGCTGTAGCTTCTTGTCCATAATGCAGGTTATACAGATCAAGACAATCAAGTGGTGAAGTGCACCCATTTCCTTCAATACCATCTATAGCTTCTTATGATCTACACAGTCAAAGGATTTGGTGTAGTGTATAAGATATAGACTGATCTTCTGAAATCCTTTGGTGTGCTCCAGTAGCCAACATAGGTTGTAATATGATCGTGAGTGCCTTTTTCTTTTTGGAATGCAACTTGAACATCAGGCATTTCTCATTCCATATGGGGAACATTCTTTCTTGAATTCTGCTGCAAATCACTTAGCTGTCATGGGAAATTAGTGCAATGGTCCTGCAGCTGCTGCACTTTTTTTGCATTCTCTTTTTTAAGAATTATTTTTCAAAATTACTGCAGAAAATCATCATTATTATAGAGAGAGAAGTGAAAGGGGAACAAGGGAGGGCCTCCAAAGCATCACCATAGAGAAGAAGTAGAGAGGCAGGCCTTCCAAAGCCAATTTTACTGCCTCACCCATCTGGAGAAAGAAATTTTTCCAGAATGTCCTTGTTGCAAAGAGGATGTGCTGCTCAGTTTGAGGGGAGGGGGCTAGAGATACTGTTTTTCTATTTTCATGCGGGTCCTGTACCCCTGAACCCCACAAATGTCAGCTATGTGTGGACGGTCAGCTATGTGTAATCTAACTTATATACAAATTTGACTTAAAGATTAATTTCCATTTTCTCAGGAATGGAACTCATTTGTAACCTGGGAACCACCTGTACACAAAAGTTGACTACAAGGCTAGTCTAAAAAAAACTTACAGGATTTCAGGGAGTTTAGGAGCTACTACTCAATTGAAGACTTGAAAAAGGAGTTTGTGGTATATTGAAGTGAATAACCAAATTACAGCTTAAGCTATATAGACAGGGATATAAAGCCTAATTCCTTCTACGATTAGCCATCTTTTCTCATGTCAACTATCCTAACTTCTAATACTTTCATAGTAAAATGTTCACACAAAATAATGTCAGCATAGCAAAGTATTACTGAAATATGTCAGTAAATAAAACTCCTACTGAAATCGCCTCCTACAATGTATTAGGGAATGCAGTTCACAATTATTATGGTTTCTTCAGCAGTCTTTACTTTCTTGCAAATATGTTTAACATAAAGGATTGGTGCATGCTCAATTGTTTCTTTCCAAAAATAATACTGTGAATTCTGCAGCACTTAAATTCTACTTATCATTAAAATTAGGGGGTTTCAGGTTAGTTCAGCTGAACTTATTATCAGTC